GCAGCGCATGCTTAAATTAAATTAAATGAGATTAAAATAAATTAAATTATCTTAAAATTGTCTCCAAATGTCTCCAAATGTCTCCAAACTTCTCCAACTGTCTCCTTTTTTTCTGCGAAAACTTCAAATTGTTTTCAAATTAATTTAAATTGAATTAAATCCTCTCAAGTGCTTCAAAACTCTCCCAAATTGTCTCTTTTTTCGTTAAAATTGTCTCTTTTTTTTCAAAATTGTCTCCAAATGTTTATTTTTTTAGAAAGTCTTGCCCGCAAAATTCACGCCCGAAGCGAGTACGACAAAACCATAGAAGAGACCGAAGGCGCCTACACCAAAGTCTGTCTCTTTTTGTCTCTTTTTTGGCCTTTTTCGGCTCTTTTTGGCTCCGTTTTTGTCTCCTTTTTGTCTCCTTTTTGTCTCCTTGTTTGTCGACTTTTTCTCTTCTTATTTGTCGACTTTTTGTCCCTTTTTTGCCTTTTTTTTTCCTTTCTTTGAGCCTTTTTTGCCACATTTTCGTTTCCTTTTCGTCTCTTTCCGTCTCTTTTTGTCTCTTTTTTGGCCTTTTTTGGCTCTTTTTGGCTCCTTTTTTGTTTCCTTTTTGTCTCCTTGTTTGTCGACATTTTGTCTTCCTATTTGTCGACTTTTTGCCACTTTTTTGTCTCTTTTTGGGCCTTTTTTGCCACATTTTTGTCTCCTTTTCGTCTCCTTTTGTCTCTTTTTGTCTCTTTTTGTCTCCTTTTTGGCTCTTTTCGGCTCCTTTTTCGTCGCCTTTTTGTCTCCTTATTTGTGGACTTAGTTGTCTCCCTTCTGTCTTTTCATCTGTCTCCTTTTCGTCTCCTCATTTGCCTCTTTTTTGTCCCTTTTCTGCCTCTTTTTGTCTTTTTTTGGCCTCTTTTGCCCCAATTTTGTCTTTTTTTGTCTCCTCATGTGTCCCTTTTTGTCCCCTCATTTGTCTCCCCATGTCCCTTTTCAATCCCATTTATAATCTCCTTTTTAATCTCCTTTTTGTCTCCTTTTTATTTCCTTTTTTCTCTCCTTTTTGTCCCTTTTTGATCCCTTTTTGTCTCTTTTTGTTTCTTTTTGTCTCTTTTAGATTTTAGAATCTGCCCAAACTCTTCTTCATGTTCTTAAAAGAGAATCTGTCCATCTTGGCCGCCGCGCAGCTCTTCCAGAGGCCCTAGGGGCCCCCCTGGGGGCCCCCCTCGAGCCCCCCCGGGGGGCCCCCCAGGGGGCCCCCTCGGGGGTCCCCATGGCCCTCTCGGGGGCCCCCATGGCCTCCTCGGGGGCCCCCACGGGGGCCCACACGGGGGCCCCCACAGGGGCCCACACGGGGGCCCCCACAGGGGCCCCCATGGGGGCCCCCATGGGGGCCCCCATGGGGGCCCCTAGGGGGGCCCCTATGGGGGGCCCCTTCAGAGGCCACCTGGGAGAACCCCAGGGGGCCCCCGTGGGGAGCCCCCCAGTGGGGGCCCCCAGGGGGCCCCCCGGGGTCCGCAGGGGCAACCTTGGGGGCCCCTGAGGGGCCCTCCAATGTCTGCAGACTAGCTAAGTAGCTGAGTGTCTCTTTTATTGTTATCTATCTTTTATTAGTATTTATTTATTTGTCTCCTTTTATATATCCGACAAACAAAACCCCACAACGCAAAACTAAGGGGAGTCCACAGTAGAGTCGGGGGCCCCTGGGGACCCCTCAGGGGCCCCCAGGGCCCTCTCACGCTGCTCAGGGGGGCCCCGGGGGCCCCCCTGTAGCGCGTGAGGGTCCTAAGGGGCCCCTTGGTGGCCCCCAGGGGCCCCCAAGGGGCCCCCAAGGGCCATTGAAGACACCCAGGGGCCCCAGGGGCCCCAGGGGTCTTCGGGGGCCCTAAAGGGTCCTCGGGGGCCCCCAGGGGCCCCCTCCAACCCACTGCAGCAGCAGCCTGGGGCCCCTGGGGGCCCCTAGCCTTGGGGGGCCCCTAGGAGCCAAACGGGGGCCCTGGGGGCCCCACATCAGAATGAAGGGGGGCCCCTGGGGCCCCCTAACAGCAGAATGAAGGGGGGCCCCTGGGGCCCCCTAACAGCAGAATAGAGGGGGGCCCCTGGGGCCCCAAAGCAACCGAAAAACCAACATGGGGGCCCCCCACCGCAGCATGAGGGGGCCCCTGGGGGCCCCCACGAGCCTAAGGGGGCCCCGGGGGGCCCCCACCAGCCTAGAGGCCCCCCGGGGGGCCCCCAGCAACCTGGGGGGGCCCCTTGGGGCCCCCCAGCAGCCTTCGGGGGCCCCTAGGGGCCCCCCAGCAGATTTGAGGGGCCCTGCGGACCCCCAAGATGTCCTGGGGGCCCCCCGGGGCCCCCAGGAGAGTTGGGGGGCCTCTGGGGTCCCCTAGGGTACTGGAGGGGCCCCTGTGTAGAATGAAGCCACTTTTGTCTCTAATTTATTTCCGATTTTAAAAGAATAGTCTCTGCATGCACTATCTAGTGCTGCTGCTGCTGCTGCTGCTGCTGCATTAGCCCCAGAGGGTCCTTAAGTGACGCGTACAAATCCTCTAGAGCTACAGGGACTTGCTGCTGCTGCTGCTGCTGCAAGTATTGCTGCTGCTGCGGCTGCATGTGCTGCTGCTGTGCATGCTGCGGGTGGAGCTGCTGCTGCTGCAAGTATTGCTGCTGCTGCGGCTGCATGTGCTGCTGCTGCTGCTGCTGCATGTGCTGCTGCGGCTGCGGCAGC